AGATTTAAAAGCTCGCGTGAGTGTGAGTTTTCATCAGAGCTGCCTCCTGGTGTTATTACTGCAACAATATTATTTGCTATATTCCTCCATTTTAGGTGCCTTAAGTTGAAATCCCCCAGGAGCAAGATGTTGGGTGCAGGAGCTGGAAGGTTTTCCAGACAGTGGTCAATTTTTAACAGCTGTTCCTGGAATTGCTGGGATGTTGCATCCGGAGGCTTGTAGACTATCACAATGACTAGGTTTTGGTTCTCGACCTTTACTGCTAAAACTTCCACTACATCATTTGAGGCATTTAGCAGTTCTGTGCAAACAAGTGACTCTGCAATGTACAGGCCAACCCCCCCCTTTTGCCTGTTCACTCTGTCACATCTGTATAGGTTGTAACCTGGGTGTTGCAACCCTCCTAGTGTGAGGTGTTGCAACCCTCTTTGTGTGAGGTGTTGCAACCCTCCTAGTGTGAGGTGTTGCAACCCTCCTTGTGTGAGGTGTTGCAACCCTCCTAGTGTGAGGTGTTGCAACCCTCCTAGTGTGAGGTGTTGCAACCCTCCTTGTGTGAGGTGTTGCAACCCTCCTTGTGTGAGGTGTTGCAACCCTCCTAGTGTGAGGTGTTGCAACCCTCCTTGAGTTAGGTGTTGCAACCCTCCTTGAGTTAGGTGTTGCAACCCTCCTTGTGTGAGGTGTTGCAACCCTCCTAGTGTGAGGTGTTGCAACCCTCCTAGTGTGAGGTGTTGCAACCCTCCTTGAGTTAGGTGTTGCAACCCTCCTTGTGTGAGGTGTTGCAACCCTCCTAGTGTGAGGTGTTGCAACCCTCCTAGTGTGAGGTGTTGCAACCCTCCTTGAGTTAGGTGTTGCAACCCTCCTAGTGTGAGGTGTTGCAACCCTCCTTGAGTTAGGTGTTGCAACCCTCCTAGTGTGAGGTGTTGCAACCCTCCTTGAGTTAGGTGTTGCAACCCTCCTTGAGTTAGGTGTTGCAACCCTCCTTGAGTTAGGTGTTGCAACCCTCCTAGTGTGAGGTGTTGCAACCCTCTTTGTGTGAGGTGTTGCAACCCTCCTAGTGTGAGGTGTTGCAACCCTCTTTGTGTGAGGTGTTGCAACCCTCCTTGAGTTAGGTGTCAGCTCAGCGTTTAATATTTAAAATATGCACATGAATGCACTCAGGTTTTATTACCTAATTTATATATAACCACAAACAAGTAGTATTTAATCAATAACAACAATGCGGCTAGCTGGAGGATCGAACCCTTGTTGTTTAACCCACCTCACGGCTTGCTTCAAGTTGCGAGGACACACGATGCAACCACACCATAACATACAATCGCAACTTGAAGCTAGCCTAGTTCGCCAGCCTCAAGTTGTTTGTAGGTTTGTATGGTCGTGTGTTTGTGTGTGTGTGAGTGTGTGTACTCACTTAATTGTATTCATCTAATTGTGATTGCACGGGTAGATTCATAGCTCCTGGTCCCGCCTCTTCACTGGTCATTACTAGGCCCATCCTTTCTCTGCGCCATGAGCCCTATCATACCTCTTCTTAAATTTATGTATGGTTCCTGCCTCCACTGCATCTCTTTCCAGACTGTTCCACTTCCTGACAAATTTGTGGCTGAAGAAATACTTGCTAGCTTGCCTGCGACTCTTGTGAGTCTTTAACTTCCAACTGTGATCCCTTGTTGCTCTGTACCATCTCTGGAACATCCCGTCTCTGTTCACCTTGTTGCTGTGTCCCATCTCTGGAGCATCCTGTCTCTGCCACCTTTTCTATTGTGTCCCATTTCTGGAACATCTTGTCTCTGCCACCTTGTTGTTGTGTCCCATCTCTGGAACATCTTGTCTCTGTCCACTTTGTTTCTGTGTCCCATCTCTGGAACATCCTGTCTCTGTCCACATTGTTGCTGTGTCCCATCTCTGAACATCCTGTCTCTGTCCACCTTGTTGCTGTGTCCCATCTCTGGAAGATCCTGTCTCTGTCCACCTTGTTGCTGTGTTTTCTTCTCTGGAACATTCTGTCCTGTCCACCTTGTTGCTGTGTCCCATCTCTGGAACATCCTGTCTCTGTCCACCTTGTTGCTGTGTCCCATCTCTGGAGCATCCTGTCTCTGCCACCTTTTCTATTGTGTCCCATTTCTGGAACATCTTGTCTCTGCCACCTTGTTGTTGTGTCCCATCTCTGGAACATCTTGTCTCTGTCCACTTCGTTTCTGTGTCCCATCTCTGGAACATCCTGTCTCTGTCCACATTGTTGCTGTGTCCCATCTCTGAACATCCTGTCTCTGTCCACCTTGTTGCTGTGTCCCATCTCTGGAAGATCCTGTCTCTGTCCACCTTGTTGCTGTGTTTTCTTCTCTGGAACATTCTGTCCTGTCCACCTTGTTGCTGTGTCCCATCTCTGGAACATCCTGTCTCTGTCCACCTTGTTGCTGTGTCCCATCTCTGGAACATCTTGTCTCTGTCCACTTTGTTTCTGTGTCCCATCTCTGAACATCCTGTCTCTGTCCACCTTTTTGCTGTGTCCCATCTCTGGAACATCCTGTCTCTGTCCACCTTGTTGCTGTGTCCCATCTCTGGAACATTCTGTCCCTGTCCACCTTGTTGCTGTGTCCCATCTCTGGAACATCCTGTCTCTGTCCACCTTGTTGCTGTGTCCCATCTCTGAACATCCTGTCTCTGTCCACCTTGTTGCTGTGTCCCATCTCTGAACATCCTGTCATTGTCCACATTGTTGCTGTGTCCCATCTCTGAACATCCTGTCTCTGTCCACCTAGTTGCTGTGTCCCATCTCTGGAACATTCTGTCCTTGTCCACCTTGTTGCTGTCCCATCTCTGGAACATTCTGTCTCTGTCCACCTAGTTGCTGTGTCCCATCTCTGGAACATTCTGTCCTGTCCACATTGTTGCTGTGTCCCATCTCTGAACATCCTGTCTCTGTCCACCTTGTTGCTGTGTCCCATCTCTGGAACATTCTGTCCCTGTCCACATTGTTGCTGTGTCCCATCTCTGAACATCCTGTCTCTGTCCACCTTGTTGCTGTGTCCCATCTCTGGAACATCTTGTCTCTGTCCACTTGTTTCTGTGTCCCTTCTCTGAACATCCTGTCTCTGTCCACCTTTTTGCTGTGTCCCATCTCTGGAACATCCTGTCTCTGTCCACCTTGTTGCTGTGTCCCATCTCTGGAACATTCTGTCCCTGTCCACCTTGTTGCTGTGTCCCATCTCTGGAACATCCTGTCTCTGTCCACCTTGTTGCTGTGTCCCATCTCTGAACATCCTGTCTCTGTCCACCTTGTTGCTGTGTCCCATCTCTGAACATCCTGTCATTGTCCACATTGTTGCTGTGTCCCATCTCTGAACATCCTGTCTCTGTCCACCTAGTTGCTGTGTCCCATCTCTGGAACATTCTGTCCTTGTCCACCTTGTTGCTGTGTCCCATCTCTGGAACATCCTGTCTCTGTCCACCTTGTTGCTGTGTCCCATCTCTGGAGCATCCTGTCTCTGCCACTTTTTCTATTGTGTCCCATTTCTGGAACATCTTGTCTCTGCCACCTTGTTGTTGTGTCCCATCTCTGGAACATCTTGTCTCTGTCCACTTTGTTTCTGTGTCCCATCTCTGGAACATCCTGTCTCTGTCCACATTGTTGCTGTGTCCCATCTCTGAACATCCTGTCTCTGTCCACCTTGTTGCTGTGTCCCATCTCTGGAAGATCCTGTCTCTGTCCACCTTGTTACTGTGTTTTCTTCTCTGGAACATTCTGTCCTGTCCACCTTGTTGCTGTGTCCCATCTCTGGAACATCCTGTCTCTGTCCACCTTGTTGCTGTGTCCCATCTCTGGAACATCCTGTCTCTGTCCACCTTGTTGCTGTGTCCCATCTCTGGAACATCTTGTCTCTGTCCACTTTGTTTCTGTGTCCCATCTCTGAACATCCTGTCTCTGTCCACCTTTTTGCTGTGTCCCATCTCTGGAACATCCTGTCTCTGTCCACCTTGTTGCTGTGTCCCATCTCTGGAACATTCTGTCCCTGTCCACCTTGTTGCTGTGTCCCATCTCTGGAACATCCTGTCTCTGTCCACCTTGTTGCTGTGTCCCATCTCTGAACATCCTGTCTCTGTCCACCTTGTTGCTGTGTCCCATCTCTGAACATCCTGTCATTGTCCACATTGTTGCTGTGTCCCATCTCTGAACATCCTGTCTCTGTCCACCTAGTTGCTGTGTCCCATCTCTGGAACATTCTGTCCTTGTCCACCTTGTTGCTGTGTCCCATCTCTGGAACATTCTGTCCTTGTCCACCTTGTTGCTGTGTCCCATCTCTGAACATCCTGTCTCTGTCCACCTAGTTGCTGTGTCCCATCTCTGGAACATTCTGTCCCTGTCCACATTGTTGCTGTGTCCCATCTCTGAACATCCTGTCTCTGTCCACCTTGTTGCTGTGTCCCATCTCTGGAACATTCTGTCCCTGTCCACATTGTTGCTGTGTCCCATCTCTGAACATCCTGTCTCTGTCCACCTTGTTGCTGTGTCCCATCTCTGGAACATCCTGTCTCTGTCCACCTTGTTGCTGTGTCCCATCTCTGGAACATTCTGTCCCTGTCCACCTTGTTGCTGTGTCCCATCTCTGGAACATTCTGTCCCTGTCCACCTTGTTGCTGTGTCCCATCTCTGGAACATTCTGTCCCTGTCCACCTTGTTGCTGTGTCCCATCTCTGGAACATTCTGTCCCTGTCCACATTGTTGCTGTGTCCCATCTCTGGAACATCCTGTCTCTGTCCACCTTGTTGCTGTGTCCCATCTCTGGAACATCCTGTCTCTGTCCACCTTGTTGCTGTGTCCCATCTCTGGAACATCCTGTCTCTGTCCACCTTGTTGCTGTGTCCCATCTCTGGAACATTCTGTCCCTGTCCACCTTGTTGCTGTTGATATGAATTAGTCATGTATATTAAACTACCAGATTTTAGGTTACTTGTGCTATTGTTACCTTCTCGTTATAATGAGGTTTATTTCTGCTATACAGTACTGTGTCAAGTGTAGGCAACTCAGCTGCCTGCTTACTCTGGGAGGATGTCGTTAAGTTTCTTCCGTGCTTCAGGAACATTGATGATCAAGGATCCACAAAACCTCTGAAAGTCATTAGTAAGTAATTTATTTTGTATTTTGGTATTATTATTTTCACACTAATTTTGCCTCAAAGTTCATTTTCTGCATTAAATGTAACATGAATCAATTATACACTTCGTATCTTGGGAAATGTATATATGCTACGGTAGGTCACACAGCAGTTGTTAGGTGTCATTAATCGGGTTCCTGAATTAGGTTAAGTAGTTCTCCTATTTTTTCTATTTCTCCCTCTATTATTTGTATTATTTCGTTAATAATGAGATAACACTTCCTCGAATCATCTTCAACTTTTCAAGTTCACTTTACGGTAACTATTACAAAATTCATACAACTATTGGTATGCAGGTGTTCTGTGGCCTAAATTGAAGAATCCATTCTAATATTACTGGTGTGGACTCCATTGCTTAAAAGCTTTAGGTCAGATTTGGCTTTCAGTGTTTTAACATTCTCGTATAACTGCTGGGCTTCCCTTCTTGTCCATGCATATTCATTTCTAAGTCTTCGGCTAATTGCCTTGTTTTCCTGGGTGTGTCGTCTTCTCTTGTTTATCCATGCTCTAGCACACTTAGTTTTGGCTTCTCTGCACATCTGGGTGAACCAAGGACTTGCTTTGTTATTCTCATTGGTTTTGTTGCCCTTGGGTACGACCTTTTCATCTGCCTCCTTACATTTTATTGTCACTTATCCCATCATTTCATTTACTGTTTTTCCCACCAATTCTCATTCTTACTGTACCTCATGCAAGAAATTCTTCATGCCTATGTAGTTACCTCTTTTTTAGTTTAGCTTTTCCCGTCCTATTCGTGCTGCTTCACTCTCCACTTTTAACTCTACAATGCGTTCGAAGGTCAGGACCACGAGTTCACTAGCTACAAGAGGCCTTTCATATGTAATGTCCTAAGTGTCTGGAGTACGCAAGGTGAATAGGAGGTCCAGCCTTGCCGGTTCATCCTCTCTCGCTCCGTCTCTCTGTCTGTCTCTCTCTCTCTCTCTCTCTGTCTCTCTCTCTCTCTCTCTCTCTCTCTCTCTCTCTCTCTCTCTCTGTCTCTCTCTCTCTGGTAGTGTCTCCGACATGTTGATGCACGAGGTTTTCCAGTATCACCTCCACCTCCACTTTTCTGGTCCTCCATGTGGCTCCAGGTTTCCCAATCAATCTTGTAATTGAAATCATGCACAACTAGTAACTTTTCCCTTCTCAGATGGGCCCTTCTGGTCAGCTCAGCTAGTGTTTCCATCATTGCTCTAATACTCTCGTCATATTCTTGCTCTGGTCTCCTGCTATTCTGTGGTGGGTTGTACATCACTGCACTAACCATCCTGGTACCCCCAGTGGAAAGTGTTCCTACTATGTAGTTCCTTGCTTCCATTCTTTCTATTCCTTCCATTTCCTTAAATCTCCACTGTTTTTTGATGAGCAGTGCAACTCCCCCACCCCTTTTGGTTCTTTAATCTTTCCTCAGGATCTGATATATGATGGAAACATCGTACCTGTTATCATCCTCGTGAGCTTCGTTTCTGTGAATGCTATGATGTCTGCAGATGCCTCCATGATTCTTTCGTGCCACTCCTCACATTTATTTGTCATTCCATCTGCGTTGGTGTACCATACCTTCATCCACTTTTCTAGTATTGTGGTCTGGGGGAATCTGTGGGTGGTTAGTGGAGTTGGAAACCTAGAGGGCTGCTCTGAAGGTAGAGGCTGTGGTGATAGGGGATTGTGGGCTGTGGGTATGGAGTGTGGGATGTTTTGAGTTAATTTAATTGGTTGCTGTGGGGTTGACAGGGTTGAGGGTTTTTCTGTGTATGTGTGTACTCACCTAATTGTACTCATATAATTGTGGTTGGAAGGGTCGATTCATAGCTCCTGGTCCCACCTCTTAACTGGTCTACTACATCACTTTCTAGATTATTGCACTTCCTCACAACTCTATGACTAAAGAAGTACTTCCTAACATCCCTGTGATTCATCTGAGTCTTCAACTTTCAACTGTGACCCCTTGTTACTTTGTCCCATCTCAGAAACATCCTGTCTCTGTCCATCTTGTCTATTCCTTTCAGTATTTTGAATGTCGTTATCGTGTCCCCCCTCCCCATCCTTCCTGTCTTGCACTATCAGGTCGATTTCCCTTAGCCTCTCCTCAAAGGACATGCCCCTTAGCTCTGGGACTAGTCTCGTTGCAAACGTTCACACTTTCTCTAATTTCCTGACGTGCTTGGCCAGATCTGGATTCCAGACTGGTGCTACATACTCCAATATGGGATTGACGTACACAGTGTACAGAGTCCTGGATGATTACTTACTGAGCTGTTGCAATGCCAACCTTAGGTTTGCTACACGTCCATATGCTGCATCAGTTATTTGGTTGATGTGCGCCTCAGGAGATGTATTCGGTATCATACTGACTCCAAGATCCTTTTCCTTGAATGTGGTTTGTAGTCTCTAACGCCTTTCTGATTTCTTGCAGTGCCTTCCCTGTTATACTTGCCAGGTCCTCCAGCTTTTGCACTAATCGCTTGTGGAGAACTGTGTGAAAAGCTTTCTTACAGTCCAAGAAAATGTAATCTACCCACTCCCTCACTCCCTCTTGTCTTACTGCTGTCACACTCTTATAGAACTCCAGTAGGTTTGTGACACAGGATTTCGCATCCCAGAAACCAAGCTGGTTGCCATTAATAAGCTCAGCCGTTCCTATGTGCTCCACCACTCTTCTGCTAATTTTCCCCTTAACTTTACATACTATACATGTCAGTGACACTGGTCTGTGGTTTAATATTTCGTGTCTGTCTCCTTCTTCAAAAATTGGGACTACATTTGCTGTCTTCCATACCTCAAGTAGTAGCCCTTCTTTAATAAATGTGTTGACGATTGTTGTTAGTAGACACAGAGCGCCTCTGCTCCCTCTATCAAGACCTATGGAGAGATGTTATCCGGCCCAGTCGCAGTTTAGTGTCTAGTTCGCCTAACAGCCTCTTCTCCTCCTCGATTGCATGTATTGTGTCCAACACTTGGTGGTGTACCCCACCTCTCCGACTTTCTGGAGTCCCTTCTCTCTCCTCTGTGAATACTTCTTTGGATCTCATACTGACCTCCTCACATACTACTTCTCGGCCGTCGCATGTGATCTCTCCTTTCTTCCTCAGCCTGATTACTTGACCATTGAACGTTGTTTACCTGCTTGTGAGGCTGTACAACAGCTTCGAGTCAGATTTGGCTCTCGCTGCTATGTTATTTTCGTACTATCTTGGCTCTACGTACTATTTTGGCTCTACGACTGCTCCCCTTATTCTCCTAGGTCCTTTGCCTTCTATACTTCTTCCATTCTCTTGCACACTTAGTTTTGGCCTCTCTACACCTTTGGGTGAACCAAGGTCTCGTCCTGGCCTTCCAGTTACTTCTGTTACCCTTGGGAACAAATCTTTCCTCTGCGTCGTTGCATATTGTTGTAACATATTCCATCATCTCATTTACTGATCTCACTACCACTTCTCTGGTCCACTGAGCCTCGTGCAGGACTGTGTAGTTCCCTCTCTTGCAATTTGACTTCATTAGTCCTGCCCTTCTTACTTCCTTCTCCACATGTACTATGTACTCACCTAATTGTATTCACCTAATTGTGGCTGCAGGGGTCGAGATTCAGCTCCTGGCCCCGCCTCTTTACTGACCGCTACTGGGTCCTCCCTCTCCCTGCTCCATAAGCTTTATCATACCTCGTCTTAAAACTATGTATAGTTCCTGCCTCCACTACATCGTTTCCTAACAACTCTGTGGCTGAAGAAATACTTCCTAACATCCCTTTTATTCATCTGAGACTTCAGTTTCCAATTGTGACCCCTTGTTTCTGTGTCCCATCTCTGGAACATCCTGTCTGTGTCCACCTTGTCTATTCCACGCAGTATTGTGTATGTCGTGTGTGTACTCACCTAGTTGTACTCACCTAGTTCAGGTTGCAAGGATCGAGTCATAGCTCCTAGCCCCGCATCTTCACTGGTCGCTACTAAGTCGCTCTCCCTGAACCGTGAGCTTTATCATACCTCTGCTTAAAGCTATGTATGGATCCTGCCTCCACTATATCGCTTCCCAAACTATTTCACTTCCTGACTACTCTGTGGCTGAAGAAATACTTCCTAACATCCCTGTGATTCATCTTTGTCTTCAACCTCCAACTGTGTCCCCTTGTTGCTGTGTCCCATCGCTGGAACATCCTGTCTTTGTCCACCTTGTCAATTCCTCTCAGCATTTTGTATGTCGTTATCATGTCCCCCCCCCCAATCTCTCCTGTCCTCCAGTGTCGTCAGATCGATTTCCCTTAACCTCTCCTCGTAGGACATACCTCTTAGCTATGGGACTAGTCTTGTTGCAAACCTTTTCACTTTCTCTAGTTTCTTTACGTGCTTGGCTAGGTGTGGGTTCCAAACTGGTGCCGCATACTCCAATATGGGCCTAACGTACACGGTGTACAGGGACCTGAACGATTCCTTATTAAGATGTCGGAATGCTGTTCTGAGGTTTGCCAGGCGGCCATATGCTGCAGCAGTTATTTGGTTGATGTGAGCTTCAGGAGATGTGCCTGGTGTTATACTCACCCCAAGATCTTTTTCCTTGAGTGAGGTTTGTAGTCTCTGGCCCCATAGACTGTACTCCGTCTGCGGTCTTCTTTGCCCTTCCCCAATGTTCATTACTTTGCACTTGGTGGGGTTGAACTCCAAGAGCCAATTGCTGAACCAGATCTGCAGCCTGTCCAGATCCCTTTGTAGTTCTGCCTGGTCTTCGACAGAATGAATTCTTCTCATCAACTTCACGTCATCTGCAAACAGTGACACTTCGGAGTCTATTCCTTCCGTCATGTCGTTCACAAATACCAGAAACAGCACTGGTCCTAGGAGTGACCCCTGTGGGACCACGCTGGTCACAGGTGCCCACTGATCCATTGTAGTGCCTTCCCTGTTATCCCTGCTTGGTCCTCCAGTTTTTCACTAATCTCTTGTGTGGAACTGTGTCAGTCACCTTTTTGCAG